GGAAGCAAGGAAGGAAAGAAGGAAGGAAGGAAGGAAGGAAGGAAGGGAGGAAGGAAGGGAGGAAGGAAGGGAGGAAGGGAGAGAAGGAAAGGAGGGAGGAAGGAAGGGGCACTGGAGGCATAGTTTCCTAACAAGTCCTTGAGTTAAACCCTAGTATTTCCTCTCACTAAACAAACAAACAAAAAAAACAAAAAACAAAACAAGTAAAATTAGAAAATAGTAATGTAAAACGTGCATCACTGCTATTCAAACACTACTATTCAAATAAGCAGAAATAAGTATGATAGCAGCAACAAAAAAACAAATCAGACAATACAAACAGGTCCAGAAACAAAAGTAAGTAAAGATCCAACTGACTCCAAACCATAACTACACATATGTTCCATACTTAAGACAGATGAACATAAACAGGAGGACAGAAATAGAATATTTTTTAAAATACCAAATCCTAAATACTACACTGTATGAAAATTGCTGGCAAGCAGAAGCAACTAGCCTCCAATAAAAATACTTCCCTTCCAAGTCCTTTACTACTTTAACCATATCAGTTTTCCTTAAACCAGTAACCCCTTAAACGCAAAATTCAAGCAAAACGTAGAAAGCGGAAAAAATGAGATACCTCATTTCTGTTCTACACCTACTTCCCACCTCCAGGCAATTACAGACACATGTACAAGTCACCAAAGGAAACTGCATTCTCTTTACCACTGAACACATGCTTCCTATACTCACCGAAATCACAGTTAGCATGTAATAAGCCTTCCAACTTGTATAGATGTTGCCTAATTTTAAAAAAGGCGAGTTATTTTCAGCAGTTTAAAATATGTAACAATTACACAGCTAGTATTTCCTAGTCTATTACAAAGCTTCAATATTTCTTTGCAGTTGGTGTTTTATATTTTGTAAATGTTTATTAAAGGTCAGCTACAGGTAGTGAAAATTCTGAGAGAATATAAAACAAACTGATGTTTAACATTCCAAAAATAGTCATTGAAGGACGCATACACCCCAAAAATGATTTCAAGTATCATTTGAAATTTCAGTATCAGGGGGCTGGAAAGGTGGCTCAGTGGTAGAACGCTTGCCTTGCATGCCTGAGGCCCTGGGTTCAATTCCTCAGCACCACATAAGCAAAAAGAAAAAAGCCGGAAGTGGCACTGTGGCTCAAGTGGTAGAGCGCTAGCCTTGAGCTGAAGAGCTGAGGGACAGCGCCCAGGCCCAGAGTTCAGGCCCCACAATCGGACCAAAAAAAAAAAAATTCAGTATCAGTGGAATAATACTGTTTCTACCTTTAGGAAATTTATATATATATATAAATGTAAAATTATATTATCCATGGCTCAGAAAATGAACAGAACTCTATAGTTATCATGGAAGGCAATACTTACCTTCAACAATATTCATGACCTAGATCCTGAATAAAGATTCATTCACTACTATTTTCAGGATTACAGAAAATAAATCAGCTTGCTCTCTCTAACACACAAAAGTGTGGGAGGGTCACAGTGAGTAATGTGATGAAATGTAGGTGAGAGAATGCTGGAACTTTCCATTTTCATTTAGGCATACTGCATATGTATTTTAAATTGTTTTGGGTTAATTTGCCTGTAACAACTTTGATACATCATCTTAAAGCTAACTGTTCACTTTATTTTCCATAATGAACTAATATAATTTTTAATTTTTTAAGGGCATAGTGGAATTTTTTAAGTTCAGTTATTTAGTTTATTTATTGTTAGTAAAAGAGATTAAACTCAGTCTTGTGTATAAGTTCTCTACCATTTAGCCAGGCCACTACTTTTTTTACTTGTTTTTTCAGATAGGAACTTATGCTTTTATTCTAGGGGTGATTTTGGACTGTGTTCCTCCTATGTTATGCCTCCCATGTACTGTTTTCTCAGTCAAAATAAAATCAAATTAAACCCCTCCTAATCTCTACCTTGCAAGTAGCTGGGATTACAGGTGTGTACTACCATAACCAGAAAAATGTTCAAATTTCAGAAATATAGTCTAAAGTATTTAAAGGTAATATGGCATAACTCTTGGATTCTGTTTACAAACATTAAAGTCAAGAGAATAGGAGATGTGACAGATAACATTGATTCTTACTATAAAGGGAGTATGTGAAGAATAATAATACCATTGCCCTTACTTTGTATATATTTGAAAACTTCCATTATGCTTTTCTTTTTTGCAATACCTAGGATTGAACTCAGGTCCTTATACATGCTAGGCAAGCAGTATAGGCCTAATGCTATGACTCTACCCTCTTTATTTGTATTTTATTTTTGAAGTTGCATCTTTTTAACTTTGATGGGGTTGGTTTGGAACTAGAAATCTTCCTGCATATGCCTTCTGAGTAGCAGGGATTATAGGAGTATTTCACACTCAGACAAATATTTTTGTAAATGTTGTCCAAGAACAAACATAATCTTATTTTTATTACAGTCTGAAAGATGTATTTGGAAAGCCTACTTTCATTCTCTAAAGATCACTGGAAGATTACAGCTTTATGGAAAGCTACATTTATGATATTTAAGTAACAAAAGTATTTTATTTTTCTTCTACAATACTAATATAGTTCAGTTTCTTGTAGGTGTTTCCAATACCATGATATCAAAAACAATTAGTTTGGGATGTAACTTGATAAAGTGCTTGCCTGTATACACACAGGATTAAGTTTGATCTCTGCAGAGCAAAAAAATAAATAAAAAGCAAAGGATCTGAAAAATCAATAAAGAACAACACAGTAAAAACACTATTTTTCTCAGTCATGACGGCCTGATCATTATTACTAGTAAAATAATCAAGTGAACAATGAGTATCAAAAGCACTTTGACACAATGTACTTTACAAAACTTAAGTTACATACCTGCATAAATGAAAAAGCTCTCTACATGAATTTACTAATGCTATTTCAGTAACCCATTGGACACCAAATAATTCCACTGTATCCTCTTCAAAATTAGTTGGCAAAGGATCAAGATTTAAAAATAATCTGAAATGAAAATAACAATTATATCACTTGAATTCATCCCATAGATGACACGTAAAATAAGTCAGAAAATGCTTTGATTCCTTACACATTCAGGATTACTAAAGCTAGAAGATGTTAAAATTGCATTCTCAGTAGGGGTAAAGAACTGGCCATCAGGTTGCATGAAAACCATGGGGGTCATGATGGGACAGGCATGCTTTTCATGAGTGAGTGTCTATATTGATAATTTTGTGTGGCCTGAGAATGATGTTATTAAATAATCCAAGTGGCTCTTGGCAGAAAATAAAGGTTTCGCATAACTTTGTGATGATAAAGTATAGCTAAAAGGCAACACATGTTGGGGGAAAAAGTTCAAAAGGATTATAATCATCATGAGTTACAGTATTTATCTTTGAAAGGGAGATGGCTAACAGTTACTTTGAATTATGTCTGAGGTACAGCATAAGCAAGTTTGTGTAATCTCTTTTTAGGTCTGTAACAAGGTACAACTATAAAACCCAGATAAAAATTTCCTTCCTAAGTGAACATGCCTCAGCAGTATTAGCACAATATTTCAAAAGCAGTTTTCCTGAGGTATGTATATACACCTAACTGATGAAGAAAAGGCCCATGTATTAATTATACATGAATCGATACTTAGGAGTAGAAGGAATAGACAACAAAAAAGTGTGTATCTTAAACTTACTGAAAAGTTCTAATATGATGTTCTTTCAGAAGGAAATACCATTTCAAAAAGCCTCAGTGGTTCAGAATTCACTAAATAAAACCTAACTGAGTGACTAGCTCCCTACCTCAAAGCTGAGATTGTAGTAAAATAGGAGAAAGTCAGTTACCAAGGAAGTGTCTCTTAATATTCAAAATACTCTTAGGTATGCTCTAATCACGAAGATAGCAACAAAAACAATATAAATTTGAACTTTTATGACACACTGAGCCTCTATTTTGCAAAACATGGCTTGGCTAACACCAAAAGTTTACTGGGCTGGAGCAATAAGTAAACGTCCCTAACAAACGGATGAATTACTTCGATAAGGAAAAAAACAGTCTTCAATAGCTGGGTTTTTAAATTTTCTTTTTCCACCTACCGCTTAAGGGATCCACTGGCTAGGTAGGACTCCCCAGAAAAATCTTTCCCTCCTCCTCCTCTGTTGTCAAAAGCACAGGAAAAGCAAGGAGGCTTGCACCATTCTGTCTCCAGCTCCAACTCTAGGCTGTCGGTCAGGAACACCGCATCCATTATTTACATCTTGTCCTCAAATACTTGTGGCTCGTTATGGTTCTCATTAAGGCTCCGACGAGAAGTTGAAAACTTCCATTCCTAGAAATGGACCAGCCACAAGGTTAGGAAGTCAAAAAGGAACCCCCAAACGCCACCCCCCCCCCCATATTCATAGCACAAAGGATACGCCGAGAAACCACAGCCCGTTCCCGGCAGCCACCCCAGCCCACCGCCTCCCACAGGCTGAACACCCAGACCAGCAGCTACCCCTCACAGGTCGGATCCACAGCCAGCCTGGGGCAGACAGGCTGCGAACGGCAGGAGGAGGGAAGAAACGACCAGGTGGGCCGTGGACGGGCCCAGCACTCACTGCGGAGCCCGCCTCGGGCTGCGCACGCCCCTACCTCGCAGGACCCCAGCACGGCGCGTTTCCCGGGGGCCAAGGTGCAGGAATGTCCCGGCAGGGTGACAACCAGCGGCGGAAGGGGAGGGGAGCGGGTGTCCCACGCGGGAGGCTCCCGTGGTTCGCGGCACACCGCGTACCGGCTCACACTTCCAGCCCGAGAGAACCCGGTGCCGGCGCTCAGACTCCCGGGGACCAAACCGGAAGCCGACGAAATTCCCGCCACACAGCGCCCCGCGCTCTGGGTGGGCGGGGCTACTGGGAAGCCCACCCCTGGCTGATGTCCTTCTCGCGAGATTTCCGCCGTCGCGGCTCTGGCTCCGCGAGTTATCGCGAGATTTGCCCGTCGGCGTTGAGTATTCAGTGACGCCGTTTCTTCCGTAGCTTTAGCTGGCGCGGCCTGGAAGGCGGGGCCTCGTTAGCGAAGGGATTGGTAAGCCATGGCGGGAATGTGTAGGATTTTAAGGACTGCTGGGGCGAGCCATAGCAGTCCAGCTGTCTGCCTCTTCCACCCGTATCCTAGCCGCTCTTCTGTTTAGGTGGGGCAGAGCCCAAAGCCCTGGGCTCCCGACCGTGGGCCAACCCAGCACAAGAGAGAAACGAATCCCATTTTTGTGGAGCACTAAACAGGCCAGGCAGCCTTCTTTTTCTGAAAGTGTATTGATGTGTTTATGCATTTATTTTTTTGTTTGTTTGTTCTTATCCCGAAACTTGAACTCGGGGCCTGGGTGCTGTCCCTGAGTAGTATTGCTCAGGCCTAACACTTTCATTTGAGCCACAGCTCCACTTCCTGCCTTTTGGTGGTTAATAGGAGATAATTGGATTTTTTTTTTTTTTCTGACTGGGCTGGCTTGGAACTGTTATCAGCAGATCTCAGTTTCCTGAGTAGCTAGGATTAACTGTGAGCCACCTGTGTCTGCCTTCTTGGCCTTTTTCTTAAGTATAAAAACTGTTCCTTCTTTTTATTTGCAGTGACTCTCGGCAAGGTTCGTTCTAGCATTTCATTCTAGCACCTTACTTGTCTTGTGAAAGTGTTACGTAAAATTGACTCCTATAGCTTTTCAGTGTAACTCAGAGATCACACACTGCACTGTAACACCCACTGTCTCTTAACTTTATGAAAAACAGAGTCAGAATTGCTGATTCACATGTCATCTGTAATTTGAATATTTGACATTACCCCATTCCCCTACAATACAGTTTACCTTATGTGCAGTTTCTGTATGGAGAACCTATGATCATTCATGTCTGTTTAAATCAAACACCACATATTTTCTGACAAATGGGATAAAAGGAGGAAAAAAACAACAACAACTATGATCTTGCTATGGACCACAGCTTAAGGCTACTGTGGTAGGTGTTATATTTTTCCATTCAGTTGGTGTACTGTGAATGTTTGGTTGTACTACGGAATCTCATTTTTAGTTGTAGACTCTAGTTGTAGACTGGCATGGTGTCTCTCAAAAAGATTCCATGATAGAATACTGTGTTCTGACATTGCATTTAGGAGAAGTTGGTCAACGATTGACTATTTTTATGCTCCTTCTAAGCATCAAATATCCTAATACTCTCTCCTGCTTTTTTCTTTTAAATGTTAATGTGGGTGATCAACTTGCGGGAATATAGTGAGTAGAGTGAAAAACCAAAATGAGCTCTTAATTTACTATTACACACATTTTAATTAAAACATGTCAGGTAACAGAAAGATGGTTTGAGCATAGTCGATGAAAATCCATTTACAAATGTGTAAACAGGGGTGGCAGAACATAGAAAGTAATGAAGAAGCACCCAGAGCTAAAGAAAAGGCTATTATTACGCTTAGTCCTAAACTGATGAGAGAAGATGGGATTACTAGAGAGTGGTGAGGGTTGTTATGGAAGCAAACACCATGTACCTGATGGCCAGCCACACTATAACCCAGTTGAGAGGAAGCTATAGGGATTGAGTCTCCAAAACTCTTTCTTTCACACTACTACGTTCTGGCTTGCATCTCTTATTGGCACAAACTAATCTAAAAACAAGAATGAGGAGCAGTCTATAAAGTTCATGTTTCTGGGATAGAGTTGAGGCTGGAAGTTAACTGGCTGGAAGAATGGACAGTGAATCTGATACAAAAAAGTCATTTTTATATATGTAAGTGCAATACTACATGTAATAGTTCAATATTCACAAGGCAAAGAAAAAGTATTACAGGAAAAATACTCAAATTACCATTTCCTTCCACTGACCCCCTCCCCCCAAAAAAAAGAACTTGTTCTTATAACAGTTTATACTCTAGGGGAGATAGAAAATAAACAAGAAAACAAGTCAGCATGAATTAAAATGTTAGGTATTGTTAAGTACCATGAAGAAAATAAGTATAGTAGAGCCAATGAGCCTAATAGCTATTCCATTAGGATTTTTAACACATTGCCATTCCCTCCCTTTTTTTACTTCTATTGTGGTAAAATAGCTATAAAAGTTGTGCTTTTAATAATTCTAAAGTGAGACAATACATTTATAATAAACAGCATTTTTATAATTTAGTAATTAAATGCAAGCTCTGGTGCTTGAATTCAGAGCCTTGAGCGCTCTCTTAGATTTTTCACTCAAAGGTGGTACTCTGCCACTTGAGCCCCACTTTCAGTTCCAGCTTTTTCTTTTTGGCTGATTAATTGGAGATAAGGTTTTCGTGGATTTGTCTGTCTTCTCCCCTTTCTTCTCCTTCCCCCAGCTTTGAACCTTCATTCTCAGTTCTTAGACGCCTAAGAAACTAGGATTACATATGGGAGCCACCAGGACTAAGCTTAGCACTTTTTAAAAGTTTCTGTGCAAACTGGCCCCAAACTCCTGGGGCTCAAGTGTGACTCCTATCTTAGCTTCTCAATTAGGTAGGATAATGAGTGATCACCACCACACACAGCAATTTCAATTAGAGAATTGATAGAACAAGTAGGTAGAAAATTAGTATAGTTATAGAAGATTTGAATAACATCATCCCTCTTAAGCTAATTGATTTTATTTTATGACTCAACCAAACAATAGCAAAATTCATACTCTTGACAAGTGAACATGGAACACTCATGCAGATAGACTGTGTTCTGATCCATAAAACAAATTTACACTAATTTTAAAGAACCTAGACGGATGTGGCTGTAGCTCACTGGTAGAGTGCTTGGATAGCATGTGTAAGACCCTCAGAGTGAGCCTCAGCACCATAATAAAATTTGAGCTGGATGCTGTTGGCTCATACTTAATAATCCCTAGCTACTCAAGAGTCTGAGATTTGAGGATCTCATGAAGGAGAAAATCTGTGAGACTCTTTATCTTCAATTAAGTACCCCAAAAAGCTGGAAGTGGAGCTGTGGCTCAAGTAGTAGAATGCTAGCCTTGAGCAAAAAAGCCCAGGAACAGTGCCAAGGCCCTGAGTTCAAGCCACTGAATACACACAACAAAATAAAGTTTGAAACTAAATATATGGCCTGACCACAATGGAATTAAAAACTACATTAGAAAAAAGAGAAGGCTTAATTTCTTTTAATATTTTAAATTTATTCAATATTTCAAATATCCCTTTCGAGAAAGAAAGTGATTACTAGATATTTGAGGGGAGAAAATATGTGATATGGTTGTATTGGAAGAAATATATTTACTGGGAAATAAATATAGTAGGAATGTCTGAGAGTGGTAAGTAACCATTTAAGATTATTAGTTTAAAAAAATTAAGAGTTTAGTCAGCATGGTTCTGTCATCTCCAGCAACATTCAGCTACTTGGTAAAAGAGGGAAGGACCTAGTATAGAATTTGAATATGATATTATTAGTGAAATTGTTTTAATACTTTTAAATATATTCACAAAATATCTTTGACTAATATATTATTATGTTTATAAGTATCAGACTTAAATAATTTCATATATTTTAGGGAGAAATTTTTACAAATTTACCTGTTTATAATGTATTTCAACAGTTAAAAGCTCTTATTTCAAGAAAGTAAACAATTATTTTATAATTATTTTAATTGAAATTTTATTTTAAACTTAAGGCCATTTCTTTTTTTTCTTTTCTTTAAGACAGCATCTCATTATACAATCTAGGCTGGCCTAGAACTTTGTATATAGCCCAGACTAGCTTCAAACTTGCAATCTTCTTGTCTCCATATCCCAAATGCTAGTATTAGAAGTGTGTACGATCATGCTTCTTGACAAGGCCATCCTTTTTATGCTTTAAATGAAACCAGGGATCACCTAGCATATGCCTATAATGTGGCTCATGCCTAGATCTCAGATGAGATCTCTCATGATGAGATCTGAGGATGGGTCCAGCCTGAGTAGGAAAAGTCTATGAGCCTCATCAATAACCACCAAAAATACAAAAGTATAGCTGAGGCTCCATTGGTAGAGTACCAACCTTTAATTAAAAAAAAAAGGGGGGGGGGCTGGGTAGGTGGCTCAGTGGTAGAGCGCTTGCCTTGCATGCCTGAGGCCCTGGGCTCGATTCCTCAGCACCACATAAGCAAAAAAAAAAAAAAGAAAAAGAAAAAACTGGAAGTGGTGCTGTGGCTCAAGTGGTAGAGCGCCAGCCTTGAGCTGAAGAGCTGAGGGACAGCGCCCAGGCTCAGAGTTCAGGCCCCACGAGCTGACCACCCCCCCCCCAAAAAAAAAGCTAAGGGACAGCAACCAGGCCCTGAATTCAAGCCTTACTACCAATAAATAACTAAATAAATGAAAACGGGTCAGTTTGCTATAGCCACTTTAATATAGAATTGGATTCAACACTTTGGTATATGTGGCTTCCATTAACTATAGTTCTAATTTTTTTCAGACATGTGATGTAGCTCATGATAGCCTGAAACTCCACTTGTGGTATAGGCTGTCCTCAAACTCAAAATCCTCCTGCCTTATTTTTCCAAGTACTAGGATTACAGGCCTAACCTACCATGTCCAAACCTGAGATACTAAACTCAGTTATTGTTTTTAGTCTTGTGCTACAGAAAAGTATTAGATTATCTTTATAAGCTGTCTGTGTAAGCATTTAGACAACCCACTTTCAGCTGACTTACTGTTGATGCATGCTATTTTACTACACTAATTTTGTCCTTTGTTCAACACAGAATGACTTTTTGTGTTGTTCTTGTTGGTTGTGGTGCTTGAACTCTGCATCTGGGTGCTGTCCCTCAGCTCTTCAGCTCAAGGCAAGCGCTCTACTACTTGAACCACAGAGCCACTTCCAGTTTTCTGGTGATTTATTGGAGATAAGAGTTTCATGGACTTTTCTGCCTGGGCTGGCTTTGAACTGCGATCCTCAGATCTCAGCCTCCTGAGTAGCTAGGATTACAGGTGTGAGCCACTTGGACATAATGTCTTTTTATCCTCCTCACCTTTCTGTCCCATATATTGTGGGACAAGTATTTCAGTAGCAGCTCTATGTTTTAGTCAAGGAACATCTTTCCTAC